GAGAGAGAGAGAGAGAGAGAGAGAGAGAGAGAGAGAGAGAGAGAGGAAGAAACATCAATGCGAGAAAAACACATTGGTTGGTTGCCTCCTGCACGTGCCCTGACTGGGGCTGGGGATTGAGCCTGCAGCAGAGGTACATGCTCTTGGCTGGAATTGAACCCGTGACCCTTCAGTTTGCATACCGATGCTCTAACCACTCAACAAAACCTGCTAGGCCGAGATTTCCTTTTCTTATTCTCATCCTTAATTTTCCTTGTATGGTTTGTCCTTGTTTTAACCACCTTGATAAGAGAGGGCTCTGAGCCAGTGTTGTGTTGAAGCTGGTTCTTACTATTCAAGATGGTTAATTGTGCATATCTTTTCCCACACTCTCCATTAAGTGACATTGTGTTGGCAACTGAAAATCAGCTGTAGTAGGACTATTTATACAGTGGAAATAGGCTAACACTAAAAATAGTTTACTGGAAATCCAGTTGTTAAATGTTTATCAGCACAGCACTGGCTTTGGCACTATTTATACATCTGACTTTTTTCTGTCGGGGGATTGCTGTGGGTGATAGGTAGCTTACCTATATATTTGTCTATCTACTTTTTCCTTTGGTTTTGTAAATACTGTTTTCTCTGGAACCTAAACTTTTATATTAACTCTTTTAGCTTAATACACTGATTCATAGTGTATGTAGTGAAAATTTCTCTCCTTTGACGTTCAGAAGACAAGTTTATTTTCCATTTCTGCACAAATTGAAACTACCTTTTATTCTTCTTAAAAATATTTATTTTTAATACCTTGAGTATACATTAGTTAATATATTTTCTGAATCTATTTTCCATACTGGGCCAGCTGAATATTATAGTCAGAACTCCCTTCAGCTCATTTTGCATTTTTTGCTCTGTTTTGCATCTTTTTTTCTGTCTTATGTGGCCTTTTACTTACATTTATGCTATCTATTTCATAGTTCTCTTCTTTAAAAAAAAAATCTCTAAAATGCTTCCTTGGGCTTCTACCCATTTTAATATAAGTAGCTTAAAGGATCTTCAAGACTCTGCTTCACATGGGCATTTTATTATCATCATTCTCCTTCCTGAAGCATTTCTATGGTCTTGACTCCATTGAACACCTCCCAGATGACATTGGAGTACTAAATGTTCTCAATCTTTTTAGTATCATATTCACAGATAATTTCTTGTTATTTAGAGAGATGAAAAACCATGTCCATTGTCTATCAGATTTATCCATTTATGACTCTCAGAGGGCATTCTCATTTTCAAGATTTGAGGTTCTGGTGAGCCACAAATTATATCCTCTATGTACTTACATTAGTCCTCTAACTTTTGTGCTTCTTGAAAAAAAACACATGACTTTTTAATAACATATTCCATGCTTTATTGAATCAAACTGGTTGACAAAATGGTTTCATATACCTGCTTCTTCATCTTATTATCTCAGTCCCATGCTTTCTCTAACTGTAACACAGTAATATAACTTTTCATTGAAAGTGCTTAATCAACAACAAGTGTGATTGGTAATCTGATGATTTATGCCTGTGTCTTTCCAACATTGTTAGCCTGGCTAGCCACTCTTTCTAGCCCATGTTTTTTTTCTTCTTCTAGAGTTAAATAGGTTATTTTAGCATATTTTAAAAATATACATTTTCCTAAGATTTCTGCAAAATTCAGGGGTCAGAATATTAAATGACTATTTTCGGTTATACAATCATGTGTGTGATGTCCCTCCCTGATTCTCACCCTACCCTATATTTTCATTGCATACAACAGATTGGTTTTTCTCTTAGCATCGGTTAGATTTTCAGAGTCTATGGCTTCAGGCATATGTTGGATATGAAATTCTTTTCAAACACATACTCTTGTCTGCTTCTTAGTACAGAACTTTACATTAGGTAAAATGCTTCTGTCATTTGTAACCTGAGCAGTCCAATAGTGTTGCTCTGTTAGTTTAAATTGTTTGGAGTTAAAAATTATGAGATCACTGGAAATTTGAACACTAACTAGACAAAATTTGTGTCCCCTTTATGTGTGACTATGGTACTGTGGTTATTTTTAAAAAGAATCATTATCCTTTAGGGACACATACTATATTATCTATTGCTGTGTAACAATTATGCTAAATTTAGCAGCTTGAAACCTCACACATTAATTTTCCCAGAGATTCTGAGTCTTAAGTCTGGATATGGCTAATCTGTTTCCTGCCTCGAAGTCTTTTACAAAGCTGCAATAAATATGTGGGACAGGGTCAGTGTCTTATCTGAAGGCTTGCATGGGGAAGTATCTGCTTCCAAGATCACTTATGTTGTTTGGCAGGATTCACATTCTCAGGGGCCATTGTCTTAGTTCCTCATTGGCTGTTGGCTGGAAGATAATCTCGGTTTCTTGCCATATGGGCCTCTCCAACATAGCATCTTGTTGCATCAAAGCCAGCAGGGAGGTGAGGGGAATAGGGAGAGAGTATCCTAGCAAAACAGAAGTCACAATCTTCTGTAATACAATCACAGAAGTGACATGACATCACTTTTTCTGTATTGTATTGATTAGAAATAAGACCTAGTGATTTTGCCCATACTCAATAGGAGGGACAATTACACCAGGGCATGAATACCATATCCAAAGGTAACTTGAAATCTACATAGCTAAGTTCTGACAATGAGAATTTTTAAGTGCCTCCATTGCATTTATAAGTTCATTAAAGTGTTCTTTTGATCTAGATCTATTGTTGGCTTTTATTTCTTTTTAGCACAAGTAATCCACATTCTTTAAGAAAAATGTAGTTGAGTACAAAAAAAAGCAATCATCCAATACCCCACAAGAGATAACCACTGTTAAATTTTGTGTATTTACTTTCAATTTTTAAATTTTATGTAGTAAATCTAAAGATCTTTTTAAATTTTCTCATCCTCTGCATTTTAATGCTTCTCTCCACTGCATTCACCTTCATATTCTTCTAGTTATTATAGTTTCTATTTAAGAATTAAGATCATAATAAATATATACATATGAGTAGCCCTTTAACATTAACATGGCATCAGAATCACCAGGGAAGCTTGTTAAAAATGAAAGTTCTGGAGCCCCATTCAGATTTAGTGTAGGACCAGGAGTCCATATTTTCAAGAAAATCCTCAGATGATTCTCACACAAGTGGCAGATTAGCATACTTTTAAAACACTGGGACATGCCTGGCCGGGCGTAGCTCAGCGGTTGAGCGTCGACCTGGGATCCAGGCAATCGGGGTTCGATTTCTGGTCAGGGCACATGCCCAGGTTGCGGGCTCTATCAATGACTCTCTCATCATTGATGCTTCTATCTCTCTCTCTCCCTCTCCTTTCCTTTCTCTGAAATCAATAAAGATATATTTAAAATAAATAAATAAATAAAAACACTGGGACATTATTAAATGAATTTAGAAATTGCAATCTCTTCTAGAGAAGTGAAGTTAGCTATACAAGGTTATTTTGTTCAGGGACTGAACTAAGAACTCAAGAGCTCCTGACTCAATCATTAATTGTACTTTGTTTAGTGCCTACCTCATCAGACAGAAATTGCAGCTTGAACAGCAGACATTGCAGTCCCAATTTGGAGGGGCTCTGCTAAATATCTGAAGGGAAACTGAGGATAGGAGGTCTTGCCTAATAGGTGGGGATGGGCTAAAAATAGTTGAACACAGCTCAAACACTCTTGAAATTGTTTCAGTCATGTGAAGTAAATATACTCCCCAGTATATAAGGAAGTCCTATGTTTATTCATTTGGCTAAAGTATCCAAATGTCATGACCAAGTATTTACTAATGACCCTCCTGCTTTCATAAGATCATTAAAAATAGTTTCCATCCTGGCCAGTGTGGCTCAGTTGGCTGAACATCATTCCATGCACCGAAAGGTTGCTGGTTTGATTCCCAGTCAGGGCACATACCCAGGTTGTGGGTTCAGTCCCCTATCGTGGTGCGGGGTGCATATGGGAGGCAACCGATAGATGTTTTTCTGTCTCTCCATTTCCATTAATATGTCTCTAAAAATCAATAAAAACATATTTTAAAAAGTTTCCATTTCTTCTCAAACTGCAGATAATATAAACTAAAACACATCTCACAAAAATAAGTCCCTGTATTAGTCACTTGGTATATTTAATTTCAGCACTTTTCTCTTCATGTATTAAATAAATATAAGATTTGAAATAAAAAGAATACAGAGACTGCTTTTTTAACTTCACAATATAGAATAAGTATCTTTCCATGCACTAGGTAAAATTCTCCTGCTAACAAAATCTCACAGGCTGGGTCAAAAGCACAACATTCAACTAGAAGCTGGTAAAGACCCACCAGAAACAAGTGACATCAAAACATTTACAACAAAGGTACATTACAGACGTGTATGTTTAGAAAGTAGGTGTATCCCGATTAACTTAAGAGAAAACATCAGGATTCAAGGCATAAGGCAAAACTCATCATGATGGTCATGGTGAGGGGGGTCAGTGCTGACTGCCCGCAGACTATGACTTAACTGCTTTCCCCTCAGCTTTTCCATCAGCTGTCTCATCTCCTCCCCAACCCTTTCCCTGTTCTCTTGTCTCATCCTTGCCTGTGGCTCTCCAAGCCTCTGACCCCCGTCCCATCTATACTGCAGGATGGGCTGCCGAACACGGAACAGTCTACAATTTCCTCTTGGCACACAGTATTCACCAGCTTCCAAAGGGAGGGCCAAGGGCTCTCCTTTATTAGCATTTTGTTCTTTTTCATCCTTTTTTTCATTTTCCTATTGCGCATTTTCCATGTTGAGAGTTTTAACCACTTGTTCCTCTTTGGACGCCATTACTCCTAGAAGATAAAAGTGGAGAGAGGGATTAAATTTTTGGTGGACAGATCAGCACCGAGGACAGAGACGTTACTACACATCTTTCAGAGCCCTGGATAGCAAAGGCTGTTTTTTAAATCTGTTTCCCACCTGAGTAGCTCCCTACGCCCTCTAGGGGGCCTCCAGTCCCAGCTCTCCCCCTCCCAATGACTCTCCTCCCCTCCCTCTCCCCAAACCCACCATTTTCCTTGCTATCCAAGCGCAAGCTTTTGCAGGCACCAAAATGGAGGATAGGTGACCTGGGGGGGTGTAGAACTTAGTGGGGGTAGGGGGAAAGGTCTCGGACTGGTCCCTGCATCTGCCTGCACCACTATACCCCGCACCAACCTGGGCCTATCCTTGTCGTCTCCCCTCTTCTTGATTCTTGCTGCGAGTGCGCCGCCGGATACTTGACACAGACCCAGAGACCCACAGACCTGCAGAGGGCCAGGGTAGAGGGAGCAGGGACTGTAGCCAATCACTACGCACCGGTGGGCCACCCGAAGCCAGGCCCCTCCCCGGCCCCCACGGCTCTCACTGCTTCACTTCTCTCTCCCTCTCTCCCCGCACCGGCTTCACCATTTTCCTGAAGGAACTAGGGAGTAATTTCCCATCGCTGAGTTACTCTGCTGCCCTCGCTGGAACCTCCGCCGCCCCAGTATCCTCACCCCAGGGGGGTCACTGTTTAAGTTCCCAAGAATACCCGAGTGGAGAAAGCCGGCGGGGACTGCTGCACCCATCCCCGGCGCCGGCCTCCGGGGTTGGGGGGC